AAAAAAAAAAGAAAAAAAGAATCCATTCCTTTCCCAAGAGTATTTGCACGTCATTTATGTGCCATGCGTGATACACACTTAGGCGATCATGTATCTTTCGATACATGACTGACGAGGCAGAATTTTTCTGGCCATAGGGTTTCATTTTTTCTGTGGTAGACCAGTTGCTAACAAAGACTATAGGACCCGGCCATAGATAGGGGGAGTAATAAAAAGGAAATCATTCCTTTCCCAAGTGTATTAGCACGTCATTCATTTATGGGCCATGCGTGATACACAGTTAGGCGATCATGTATCGTTCGATACATGACTGACGATGCAGAATTTTTCTCGCAGTAGGTTGCCATTTCTTTCTGCGGTAGACCAGTTGCCATCAAAGGCTATAGAACCCGGTCTAGAAGGCTTCACCGATAAAATAATTATGCAAATTACTTATACTTACACGAATCAATTACAATGATATTATCTACTGTACGAATAATTTTGTCTTTTCCTATTGCGCATAATTCACCTGTCAAATTTGTTGTGTTGAACGTATTGTCCTGTGAGTTTTATATGATTTGTGCTTATTAACATAAAAAAAAACCTGGCATCATACGAGCATTAGATTCTGCGAAATGGATAAAAATATGCAAAATAGATGGATGTACGAATAATTCTGTCGTTGACTGCATATATATATATATATATATATATATATATATATATATTGATGCATGTTTCATTAAATAACACAGACAAGCTTTATCTATTTATTTTATGTAAATTCTTTTCACATCGTCTGATAAGCTTATCACAAAATTGATACATATTATTTTAATCAGAGTACTTTCGACAGAGCACAATGTCACCATCAGGGTGTTGTTTATTACAAGACAAGTATTGTAGTGTTGATTATTTTCAAAGACAAAATTGTTGTGTTCAACTAAAAGTTAAATTTCTTATTAATGGAGTGAAGAACACTGAGTCAGTGCCTGATATCTTGACACCACTTCAGAGGAGGTAACTAATTATGACTGTGGAGAGTTTTTACGAAATAAAGAGTGAAAACTATTAGTGCAAACCTCGACATTTCAAACTATTCAATGTACGCATTTAAAAAAAAAATATGCATTTTTTTTAATCAGTTTTCTTAAGATTGGGTTTCAATTTTTAATATAGATAGCTTCGAAAATTGTTAGTTTCAGTTTATCATTTTCACGAGAAAGTAGAGAAGTTTTTTTGACAAGAATTTATCTAAATTGTCATTGAGGATATATATATATATATATATATATATATATATATATATATATATATATATACTCATATATATATATATATTCATTAATGCATGTTTCAGTAAATAATATAGACAAGTTTTGTCTATTTTTAGTAAGTTCCTTTCATATTGTCTGATAAGCTTAATCACATTATCATTGAAAGACGAAAGGAAATCACTATATTGATACATGTTTAAATCCAATCTAAGCGTTCAGCTTACATAAGCCATTATCAAAGTCAACAATTTCAATATATCAAACAACACACGGACGAAACAACAATGAGAGTCCGCCCCTGCTGCATGAAAAATTTCAAAGCAACGACAAACTCATGTATACGAGACGCGGAAGTATTAAGTATGGGAAGCCATTTGTATAAACCAATGGCTTCTGTTATAAATTATAAGCACTTATGGATATTTGTAGAGATTTCCTATTTTATTTTGTTGAGGTTAGGTTTCAAATGTTTTATGTGTGTAGCTTCAAGAACTTTTATTTTTTGTTTATTTTTCAATGATAATGTTATTAAGCTTATCAGACAATATGAAAGGAATTTAAAATAAACAGAGAAAACTTGTCTATATTATTTAATGAAACATGCATTAATGAATATTGCTGCCTAAATATATATATATATATTCACACGAGTGAAACCTAGGCAAGTTTGCCTGGCTCGTTAGGATTTATCATATATATATATATATATATATATATATATATATCATTATCGACTCTCCCGTAGAGATTCGACGTATGAGGGTCAAGCAGATCAGTTTCCAGGAAATCGACAGCCCGACACCGGCACATGAGATATGATTATAGTGGTGAAGGCCTCGTGCAGGACCATCCACACTTTTTGAAGGGACGAATACAGAGACCTGGTGCACTAAGTGCCACAAGGTTCCCAAACGACCCTCCGCAGGTTTTAAATTCAGAGTTGTCCTTCTCCTAGACCAGTTGCCATCCCAGGCTATAGAACCCAGTCTGTCCTGCTATTTTACCCATAGCTGGAGGGAGAAGAAGAGAATTCATACCTTTCCCAAGGGTATTAGCACGTAAGTGAATGTAATGGATTCGACTAGAATTCGAACTCGGCTCTGCGATTCCTCAACCCAAGACTCTATCCATTACTCCGCCGTGCCTCCTTTTATTTATTATAATTTATTATTATTTGATTATATATATATATATATATATATATATATATATATATATATATATATATATATATATATATATATATATATATATATATATATATATATATATATATATATATATATATATCAAAAAATGTAAAAATAAAAAAAAAAGTGTGCAAGACAATAAGAAACACTACCTGCCAAAAAAGTGAAGTTTTGTTGAAATCGGTTGAAAATGTAGGAATCCGATCCCATATCTAAACGAACACACACACACACACACAAGCAACCTGGGTTTTATAATAAGTATAACTCGATATGAGCGGTCCCCCTTTCATTCTCGCGACAGCCATGCCTCTTAATCGCGTTTTCAAATTGATTTCGTGCAAAAATAATTGTGTTTTTCCAATTTTTGGCGCTCTCAGAACCACCGCAAGGTAATTTTACGTAGTCCTGTGAAGTTTTCTTGAAATCGGTTGAAAAGTGTAGGAAATCCGATCCAATATATAAAAGGACAGACAGACACACACACACACACAACCTTGGTTTTATAATAAGTATGATATATATAGAGAGGGTGTCCATAGAGTTCGTGTGCACTTTAAAACATTTATAACTTTATTTGTATTTGCGATAGAAATAATTTGTAAAAAGGATTAGAAAGAAGTAAATCTATATTTTTTAAGGTTTTATTGAAATTTTATTTAAGTTTCCACATGTCCTCCATCATTAGCCATACAAAAGGTAATACGATTTTGCAGTTCACGGAAAACATTTGCCAACTGATTTACAGTAATGCCTGAATTCAAACCAATTATTTTAGCTATACTTAAAACTAGGTATATAAAACTTTATAACAATTTTCACATTTCTGTTTTTTTTTTTTTATGGAAACGGCTCATTCCATTATTACCAGAGGTATTCTTAGGAAATAGTTTTTATTATAGGAATCCATCGGAAAGGATTTTATTATGAGAATGCATTATAAATTATTTTAATAGTGGTGGAAACGATTATACTATTAGAAAGAATTGGAAAAGAATTGACTTTAAAAATGCATTGGAAATAATGTTATTATAAGATTGCATTGGAAATAATTTTAGTATAAGAATGCATTGGAAATGATTTTATTATAAGAATGCATTGGAAATGATTTTAGTATAAGCATTTAGAAAATGATTTTAAAGAATGAATAGAAAATTATTTTAGTATAAGAATATATTGAAATTAGGATAAGAAGTATTAAAGAAAGAAAGACAGAAATAAAAGCAAAATGATTTTAATAAGAATGAATTGAAATGATTTTTCTATAAGAATGAAGGAAACACTAGTAAAATGAAACGTGGAAATGAAATAAGAATGCATTGAAAATGATTTTACTATAAGATCAAAACAAATTTTACTATAAAGAAAAATTGAAAATGATTTTTAAAAAGAATAAGAAATAGACTAAAAGAATGAATTAGAAATGATTTAGAAGAATGCATTGTTATTTTATTATAAGAATGCAATGAAATGATTTTAGAAAGGAGAAAATGATTTTAATAAGAATGAATAGAAAATTATTTTAGCATAAGAATATATTGGAAATTATTTTAGTATAAGAATGCAAAATTATAAGAATGTAAAATGAAAGACGAATGCATTGAAATGAATTATAAGAATTTAGAAATTAATAAAGAATGCATTGAAATGATTTTGCTACAAGAATGCATTGAA